AACCACCCATGTCCCCAGTCAAAATGACAGCAGACACTGTCAATTATCCCCCAGAAGTACTACTCTGCCTAACTCTTATCTTTTACATAAGAGCTGTCCTCTTTCATCGATTTCAGCACAAGAGGCCTTGAATGCAGTAGGGTGCCTGTACATTGTAGCTTCACCCAACAGGAAGATGGGGAAAGAACTGGTAACTGAGAGTCCAGGATTCTGAGGCAGGGTGGGTGTGGCAGAGATTCCAGCCTTGGAAGGCTGAGTCGATGGAATCCCCAGAGCAAGCTAGTTCTGGGTTTCATGGATAGACCCTGGCTCAATAACTAAGGTAAAATAGTGATTGGGAAGGGTTCCTGACAGCACCTCAGGGCTTCACACGTGTAGACATATTGCATGTGTACACACACAAACATATATACAAACTCACAAAACACACACATGCAAACATATATACAAATCCATGTAACAGAGAGAAAAAAATAGTAAAAGGGGATGGGGGGACATTAGAAGTTTCATTGTCACATTCTCACACATTAAAAACCTAGAATTGTTACATGGCCACTGGTAACTTTGAAAGTGGCTACAAGACAAAGCTGTATCTTCTCAGGATAAGAGATTCTTCCTCCTTCACCCAACACACACGGGGCACAGCCCTGCAGGCTCCTCTCCCACAGGCAAGCACACTGCATTCTCTCTTCTGTCCTTCCTCAGTACTTTTGACATCTGAGGACAAGTTGAGAGGGTTGTTTGGGCACTGGAGGATGTTAAACACTCTCCCAGTCTCTTCTAGATGTTTCCCAGAAGAAAAAAAAAATTCTGGTGAGAGAAAGTTTGTCCCTGGTGAGACCCATACCTCAGGGGCGTGTCCCTGCCTTCAACTGCAGGGGCAGCCCACATTAGCCAAAGCTGAAGCTAACAGTGAGTTTGTTGTTGTGTTTGTCTCTGGTCACAGTTTCCCAAATATGTTTTCCAGATTCTTTTCTGGAGACAGGCTCATACTACGTAGCTCTGGCTGTCTTGGAACTCCCTATGTAGTCCAGATTGGCCTTAACTCACAGAGATCCACCTGCCTCTGCTGGAATTAAAGATATGCATCACTATACCCTTCTTTAAGCGGCCCCCCATCTCTCTCCAGGTAGTACAGACCCCAGGAAGCTGTGGAGCTCAAGTCTACCCCACTGTCGGTGGGGTGTACTAAGTTGGAGTCCATTCAGCTCTGGAGCAAAACTTCTGGAAGAAGCTTCTAGAGTCATCTGGCAAAGTGTCAGTTCGTATTATAAAAGGGAGCCTGGGTCCAGTCCTCTCTTGCTGGCTCCCATCTGTCTCCTTCCTGCTTGAAATCAAGACATGGGGTTTCCCCCACCCTCACCCAGGGTCACGGATCTGGTAGTCTGCAGTCAGCAGCTCCAGACTCACCCTGTGTCACCACGGTGAAGCCCCTCCCTAGCCCTTCATTTCCATCAGTCCCAACTAGTCCTTACAGTCTTCTCTTGCATCTTTGCCTCTTTTCCCTGTCCCTGTGGATACAGAGACGGCCCATCCAGCCGCTACCCAACCACTTCTCCCTCCACCTCTGCTGTTAAAACCCTTTCTCTTGGGGGAAATGTAAACAACATCTACCCCTCTTAAAGTCCCAGGACAAACCAAGGTACATTTCTACCTTCCCTGAGGCGCCAAGGAGTTGATTGAGCTTATCTGCTCACAAGTAAGGGGTTACCGGTAGGACCATGGGGACCTTCGAAGCTGCCACACTAGAAGGTCTGCACCCAGCTAGGATGATGGCTTCCCCGAGGCTGCATAAAGGGGATCCCTCCCCTCACCCTTCCTCCTGTATCCTCTAGCCCCGCCCAGAGACCACGTGCAATCAGGGCAGAATAACATACAGCTGGTTGGGACCAGTTGTTAGGTAACTTGGGCGAGGGTCCCATAACCTTCCCACCCCACCCCTCTTCCAAGAGTGAAGATCAACAGTCAGCAGGCCCAGCTGTGATGTTCACTGATGAGCAGGCTCAGGCAGACTCCTGAAGATGGCGCCACTGTGGCTCAGTGAATAGTTTGCATAACATTTTACATACGGCAAATGCTGGTTGATATCTCTTGCCTCGGCCTTGCCAGCTGCCCAGGGGACCTTCACCCCAGGGCTTTAACTGCACAGATACACAAGGTCTAAGCCCTTTGCATCCCCAAGTAAGGTTGAGCCTTTTCTGTCTGTGCACTGAGGACCATGCCTGGCCCCTGTGCCACTTGTAAGCATAGAAGTGCAGCATCCCAGGGGGTGGACTTTGATGTGAACTCCTTCATCCATCTCTGATGTACGCTAGCCCAAACAGAAATCCTAGGCACGTGATTCAAGGATCAGAACATCAACCCTCACCCTTCTGCAGGGAAGAGATGGGGCTGAAGGCGGGGTTCAAACCTCATGGTCAATGATGGAGCCCATCACCTCTAAGTGCTGAGACCCCACAAAGTCTCTGGATAAGGAGGTTCCAGGAACTTCTACGCTGATAAACATCCCAATGTATCAACAAGGTAGAAGCCGACCTCCATGGGGACAGACACTCCTGGGTCAGCCCCCTCCCTGGGGACTCTGCATTTAGTTGTTCATTTGTATGCTTCGTAATAAATGATGGTTTGGGGTGTATCCTTTCTTTAGTCTATGAGCCGTCATGATAGGTTATGAATCCTGAAGGGTGTCACGTGTGCAACCCACACAAATACAGACCCTTGCAGAGCACGGTGGGAGACTCAAACGGGACAAAGGGACACCTTCTTTCTCATCAGTGTCCTCCCAGCATCCGTAGGTATGTTAAAGTCACTTGGAGCAGAAATACAAGAGAATTCACGGCGACCTGGGAACAGGCCATCACCGGTTATTCCTGGAAGTAGCTAGGACATCGGTCCTTTCTCAGAAAATTGGTGATTAATGCTTATGAACAAGAAATAATTAAACCCCTGGCTCACCTGTGCAATCGTGTCAAGATAAGTAAGTGGCCATAACTAATGAAGAAAACGCATTATTTTTTTTTTGTAGAAACATATTCAACCGGTGCTGGAAAGCGTGCAAAATTAAAACATCTCCGGTTTGCAACATGCAACGATGACGTCATGATCTAGGAAGTACGGTCATTGTATCCTGATGGGGACACTATAACCTGGGTCTGGTTGTCACCTCCCCAACCCACAGTTAAAACACATCAATGAGAGGGAGATTGCAGAGTCAGACGTGTGCCCTGGGTTCCACAGAGCTCAAACAATAGAAGGTAAAAACTAGGAGAGAGACCATCAGGCCTGGCACGTAGCCCACAGCACAATCCACGTGTTCTTGCCAACTTGACAAAATCGTCTTGTCAGTTCGGCACCGGCTTTAGCTACTTGGAACAAGAGAAGGGGTGTGGGGACGGCTCAGTATGTTAAGACGAGCTTGCTGAGTAAGCACAAGAACCCGCGTTCAGATCCTAACACTCACATAAAAGCCAAGCGTCATGCCTACAGCCCAGAGCTGGCGGGAGCAGGGGGGACAGGAGGCTCCAAGAAACTCTCTAGCCAACCAGGCCAACCAAAACAGCAAGCTCTATATTCAATGAGAGACCTTGTCTCGGAAAAATAAGGTGGGGACCCGCGAGATGGCTTCACTTATGAAGAGGGGCTTGCCGCTAAGCCCAACGCCTGGGTTTGATCCCGTGAGCTCAACATGGTGAAGGAAGAGATCCGATTCCTTCAAGTTGCCCTCTGACCTCCACATCTGCACAGGCTATACTATGCCTGCATGCGCATGCGCTGGTTAAGCTTTCTGCCTGAGACCCATTCTGTAAGCATCTGTAAACATCGGTCCTTTTTCTCTTCTGTGGGCTGCCGATCCCTGGAGAGCATGATATCTCAGCTCTCCATCTGAGCTCGGTGTTTAAGGGTGGCAGTTCTGCCTTTCTGTTGTTCACAGAGAGGTGTACCAGAGACAGGACAGGCCGGGGGGCAGGGGGTGGGGATGGGTGGTGGAAGCCCTGTCCCTTTCCTGTGGGATTTTGGCAAGGAGCCCCCCACCCCCGAAACTGGCCACAATCATTCTCTCTCAGCTCCTGAGTGGCAGCAAGGTCCTAGGAGCACCACATTCTCCAGGAGCACCACATCCTCCAGGAGCACCACATCCTCCAGGAGCACCACATCCTCCAGGAGCACCGCATTATCCCGGAGCAGGTTGAGCTGCGGTTTCAGGTCTCTCAGCACAGGTGCATGGACCAGACAGGATCTGAATGCTTTCTCCCTCTTTCTCTCTGGAACACTGAAGACCACTTGGGAGGGAGGAGCAGAGAGTAGGGAGGAAGGAGAGCTTGACTCCTTTTCTCTGTGTGTGCATGTTCGTGTGGGGGAGGGGGAAGTGTGCACGTGTCCAAATTTGTGCATGCGTGTGGAGACTAGAGGTCCACCAGGTGTCATTCCTCAGGTGCCACCATCTACTGTAGGGGGTTTGTTTGTTTGTTTGTTTGTTTGAGACAGGGTCTCTCATTGTGACCTAAGGTTTGCTGATTAGAGTGAGCTGGGTTACCCGTGGTTCCCAGGAATCCTGTCTCTCCTTCCCCACCGCTGGGATTACAAGTCTCCACTACCATGCTAGCTTTTTAGATGGGTGCTAGGAATCAAACTTGGCACCTCACACTTATTCAGCAAGCATCTTACCCACTGAGCCATCCCCATAGCCCCTCTTCACCCCTCCTCTCTCTTCTGTGATATTCTCCCCAGGTACCAGCACCACCCATACATGGGCCTGTTGTGATATGTTCTCTCCTGCTCTGATTTGGAAAACCAGGCTAGGGTCAGGTTGGGTCCTAGCATGGAGGCCCATACCAGACTCCAGACAAACGTGCTAGCCACGGGCATGCTTACGCCTTACTTGCTTACACTCATCCTGAGGCATCAGTGGCCTCGCCCTGGCCATGGCTTCCTTCTTGCTGGGAGTGACCATCTGGTTGCTAAGGTAACTGGGCACAGAATACAGGTCTCAGTTTACATATGTTCTCAGTTCTCTTCCCTCAGTGATTCTGAGAACACACACATCCAACTACACTCAAGGTCTTGGTCTCTCCTTGCCTGGCTTGCATATTTTGTCAGCTTGTGTGTGTGTGTGTATGTGTGTGTGTGAGAGAGACTGACTGTGGGTGTGGGTGTGCAATTGTGAATGTACATGCATATTTGCAGGAGCATGTCTCCATACACGTATAACTGTAGGTGTGAGTGTGTGTAACTGTATGTATATATGTGTATATATACACATGCACACATGCACATATAACTGTAGGAGTGGGTTGTGTAACTGTGTGTGTATACGTGTGTGTGTGCACACTCTGGTGTACATATAGGTATAGGTGTGGGTGTGTGTAACTAACTGTGTGTATGTGTGTATGTGTGTACACTCTGGCGCACACATGCACATATAACTGTAGGTGTGGTTGTGTGTAACTGTGTGTATGTGTGTATGTGTGTGCACACTCTGGCGCACACATTGCACATGCACATAGAACTGTAGGTGTGTGTGATTGTGTGTATGTGTGTGTGCATACTCTGACACACACATGCACATATAACTGTAGGTGTGTGTGTGGGGAGGTCAGAGGGCAGCTTTTAGGTTCTTTCCTCCCCCTTGATGGGGTAGAGTCTCTCTCACTTCTGTGCTGTGACTTCCAGACCAGCTGGCTTGGGAGCTTGTGATGGATTCTCCTGTCTCCGGCTCCCAGTTTGCTGTGGAAGTGTTAGGATTACAGATGTGCGCCCCTGCATCCTGCCTTCCACCTGCTTGAAACAGTAATTCACAGAATCCTGTCTCCTCCTCCTGTTTCCCCTTCTCTTCCCCAAAGCCCTCACATGGTTCTTTACAGAGTCTCAGGGGAAACAAGGACAGAACATTGAGGGGTCTGGGTTTCCAGGGTACCCCTAAATAAGTAGGGGATGGATGGTCTATGCATCCTGGGGTGCCACGATGGAACTCTGAGGCAGTCCCCCAAGAGGTACACCAGCAGGGCAGGCACCCAAAGATGGGACCATAAGCAAAAGTCTCTAGCTAGAACAAAGAAGCAGTTGTAGACTTCGGGGATGGAAAGGGGAGGAAGGAGGATAATTGCTAGACTGGGACTTGAACCCAGCCACCGGTCAATCTCATCGGCACCCGCCCATCCATCCCCATGGCAACCTTCAGCAATGACTCAGTGGATTTTGTTGGTCCCTTTGCAGGACACCATTGAGACAGACAGCCGTCTGGGGAGCCCTCTTGCAGGTTCTGGGTGACATTCTGGATGGAACACTCCTGGTGACTATCCAGAGGGCTGTCATAGGACATTGCAGCTGTTCAAAGGGATGCAGAGAGGAGAGAGAGAGAGAGAGAGAGAGAAACAGAGAGAGAGAGAGAGAGAGAGGGAGAGAGAGTTAGAGAGAAAGAGAGAGAGATTCCCTCGGTGCCTGGGCTTTGGGTCTTACTGAACAAGCTGTCTGTCAGCCACTCCCTCCAGGCTGAGGCGAACCTGTGGCCAGCATCCGAGGCCTATGGAGGACGGGCACAGCGTCCCCAGGGAGCTGTGACCTGCCCATATCTCATCTCTCTCTCCCATTCCTCCAGCCTCTGCCTTCCCTTCCCCTCCATCTCCTTCCTCGCTGCAGCTGTGCTTGTGTCGTTGGGGAGAATTAAATTTGCCCAAGCAGGAAGCAGTGATTCCCTAAAGTATGCTTCGGTACTGGACGGACCCTTGAGATGGGGGTAGGATGCAGAGGGATATCCTGAGTGAGTCTCCGAACTAAGGCACCTTTCAGTAGCTCACAGGGTTCACACACTGTACCAGGAGAGAGGGGGACAGGTTGGGGCATAGAAATACTTTTTATTCTCTTCCTTGGCTTCTACATGCCTAAAGGACATGAGGCTTTTCTGAAATCACTCCTCCTCTCAATAAGAAACATTTCTTTCCCGTGGATCTTAAATTTGACCCTGTGGACTCACGATGTGAAGTTCCAAAGCAATGCATGGTTGCTTTGTTTTGAGAAAGGGTCCCCTGTAGCCCAGGCTGGCTTCAAGCTTTATAAGTAGCCAAGGATGACCCTGAACTCTTGATCTTTCTGCCCCCCCTCCTAAGTCCTGGGACTACAGATGTATATAGACTGTGCCTGGTCTAGAATTCCTGATTTTTTTTTATTACCTTCCAAGATGGGGGCTCTCTCAGTGCCTATCTGAGTTTGAGTTTGAATTGTCAGAACCAACATAAATCCTGGCACAGCAGGGTGTGCTTGCAACCTTTGCATTGGGATGAGGAAGGCCAGAGGATCACTGGAGCCCAATGGCCAGCCAACCTACCCTCATTGGTGAGCTCCATATTTAGTGAGAGACTCCCTCAAAAAATAAATAAGACAGACACACATATATCATACACCCATGTGAACACACAGACAGACAGACAGACAGACAGACAGACAGACAGACAGACAGAATTCTCTTCCAAGCCTCCAGCTCTGTATGTGACAAAGTTTCTACACTGAGTTAGTTGATGTAGAAAGACTTACCCTAAACTTGGACAGCAGCATCCTGTGGGCTGGGGTTCTGAACTGAACACAAAGGGGAAAGTGAGTTGAGCTCCAGACTCCATCTGCCTCTGTTTTCTGACTGCATAC